GTAGGACAGCACACTGTGCACAAGTATTGTACCATTAACCCCCACCCACGCCTACACCCATCACCACAGTCCGACACACACATAAAGACTCAAACTGGCTCAACAATTCCCCAAACCGTACAGGATAGGACACTGGGCTTCACAGCAGGGGCTTCGCTCTGGCAGCTCCCTCCTCTGCCCCCAGAGGAACAAAAGGATGTTTCCAGGCTTCTCCAGGAAACAACCGAGGTAGGTGTGCAGGGTGACTCCTGCATCCAGGCCTTTGCTCAGGCTGCTCATATTCTTCCGTTTCTTTCACATGTGGTTCAAAGGCTACCTCCTCCAGGAAGCCTTCTGGGATTTCTCCAGTCAGACCATAGCTCTCTTTGGACATACCTACGGATTCTGTGGTCTTTCCTATAACTTCTCCTAGACCTATATATGAGTGCTTTCATATCCCCCAACTCAACTGTGAGCAGCCAGGAGCCTAGGACTCTGTGTTAGTCACCTAAGTACCTCACAGCCCCTCGCACCGAGCCTGACACATGGTAAGATTAAGTGAGATTGTATATGTGAATATTTCTACAAAGTGTTCAATTAATGTTAGTTTTTTGTTTGTTTGTTTGTTTGTTTGTTTTAAAAAAAGTGTACAGATTTGCTGCAAATCTACCCCCAGCAAGTTTGTTTGTTTTTTAATGCCTTTTTGCCCCTTTGTATGTGGTTGATCAGAAACTGTGGCCCCAGGCTTTCAACAAAGCCATCTCTGACCTCCCCTCAAAACTGGGCTAGGTGGTTCTCTACGCTTCCTCAGCACCCTTGTCTGGTCCCTTACGGCGGCCCTTGTCACTACATTTCAATTGTCATTATTCTTTATGTCCCTCCAACACTACCAGCATACAAGGCAGCTGTGTCTAACCCACTGTGGTGTCCTCCAGGGCCTAAGGGAGAGTCAGTTATGGAGTTGGTTCTCAATAGATATGAGCTGAATGAAGGAATGAACGGACAGATAAATTTCAGCTTAGTGTTTGTTCTCAGTCCCCCTGGGCCTCATGGGGTCTTCTTCTGTGGCTTAGGGAGCTTCCTGGCACCAGGGTACCCCTTCTACCTGGGGTCCCAATGCCAGGAGTGTGACCAGCCTGAGGGCTTCAAGAATCTGAGAGAAGATTCCTGGGGACTTCCAAGTCTCAGCTCCCACCAAGTGCACGAGGCCCTTCCACAATTCACCGGGGAACTGGCTGCTTGCCTAAGCTTGACGGTTTGCAGTGAGCGGGAGCTCCTTGCCTCCCAGTCACCCTGTGTGACAGACACACTCCTGTCGTCATTCCGCAGGCATTTATGGATTTCCTACTGTGGGCCAAGCTCTCTACACCGGGCACAGTGCTGACTGCCAGAGCTAACGTCCTCTAGCGTGACTCTTATCCAGTCTGACCACGGAGACCAAGCCTGGCTGAGAGGTCACACGGAAACACCTGACAGTTCCTTCCAACCGGAAGAGCCAGTAAGCCCATCACAGTGGTCTCCAACCCTGATTGGTATCAGAATCCTGAGAGCTTTCAGACAGTCCAGTTTCTGGGCCCAGCTCAGGCGATTCCAACTCAGGAAGTCCCAAGGTAAGGAAGCCCAGGGGATCTGCATGTTCTCAACGATGCCTCCAGCAACTCTGCTGATCAGCCGGTTGGACAGCCATGCAGTCACCGAAGCCACTTCTGTAGCCCCCCCACCAACGCCCCGCTTTCCCATTGGGCTACGGGACCTTTATTCCCCCTCAGTGCTCTGCCCCCACTCCCAGACCACAGGCCAACCATGGGACTGATCGCGGTCTTACCATTTAGGGTAGGATGTGGCGTCTCGGACGTCATTCCAGGGCAACGCAGGCTTCGGGTTGGCAAATCGCAGGGGTCCTAGAGGAGGTGCAGCATAGGGGACCCCGAGAAACACGTTCACAGGCATGGCGCTTCCCAGGACAGTGGCTTGCTTCCCGCGGACCCATCCCAGCCTGGTGTTCCTCACTGGTGCATCTGCAGCTGGCCCTGAGGAGACACGCGTGGAGCAAGTGGGGCGCAGTCAGGGATCAGGAGCAATCAAGAACTGGCTGGGAAGAGGTTGGCGATGAGCCCGACGCAGGGCTCCCCCAGGTCGGGGCGCTCCTTCTCGGCCCAGAGCCTGTGCAACAGGAAGTATCTGAATTCCTTCCCGGGAAAGCCATGTCCACAGCTTCCTTCAAGATTGCCTTAGAAGTCCCTTGCCTCAGAGCACCAACTTAGTACCTCCTAGGAGCGCAGCACCAAGCCACGGCATTTGCCCCGGTTACCTTGGGAACCCACCTCCCTCCTGGGCACAGGAGCTTTCCCTTCCTACGGAACTGATACACAGAAGCTCTGTAGGTCCTAGGACTGCACGGAATCACCCAGCGCAGCGTCCCAGACTTCAGTCATTCCCACGCCCACCAGCACGCTTGCCTGTGCATCACCTCTATGACTACTGGCTTTTAATGTTTTTTAAAACTATGAAATAAACTTTTCAAATTTACTTAGAGGACTCTTAAGCAATAACACCTGTGGACTTGTGGTTTTGATGAGTTAGGCGTACACTTTTGAATACACATGGAAGTAAATAAACAGCAATGAAAATAAAAAAGTTTTGACACAGATGCCACCTGAAATCAACTCAGCCACGTCCAGGGCCTGAGGAATGACATTGCTGAGAGTGAGAGTGCAGGCTCCTCAGTTTCCACGTGGAACTAACTGCCCAGCAAATTTACCAGCAGGACCCAGGTGTCTCGGCACGGCCTCTGCTAATGTTATTTCAATAGGGAGTGTCCTGCGTGGGGAGCCAGCACTGCAGAAACACGGACTCCATCCCACACTGCTCCCCAGGGCCCAGGACAGAGGGCTTTCTAAGCTCCCGCAGGGTGCGAGCAACCCAAGGGCGGGAGCGGGGCTTCTGTGCCTGAGAAGGAGACCTGGCCCTGGGGCTCTCCGCAGCCCCGGGACAGTGATCAGGTGACCCTCTGTGGCCCTCAGAGACCTCTGAGCAGTAAGTTCATGTCCACCAAGGAAAATCCTCCAATGTGGAGAAGTCCCCACACCCCATCTCCTGAGAGCCCTCTCCCATCGGCTGTCTCACCCTTGGTGGCCACTGCAAGGATCCAAACAGCCCAGATCAGGGTCTGGCCTGGGCGCACCCACTCCCCAGTCATCTGGCCGGACTGCCTGAACGCCCTGGAATCCACGGCTGCTGCTGGCCTCAGGGAGCTCCAGTCAGGGACGAGAAAGGGCTTCCTGTTAGTAAACAAATGTTGAGCAGGCAGGCACAGGACGCAGGGTTGGTGAAGAATATCATCAGACCAAGATTCGAGAGAGGACTTGGCCAAGCAAGACTTTCCTGTTCTGATTTACATAAGGAGACGCTGATAGTTAACTCTTGAGCTGGGGAAAGATAATTCGTTAGGCATCGGGCTCAGAAGGTGGTAGAAGTAGAAAGACCACTTGGGATCAGGTCAACCAGAGAGGGGCCTCAACTCAGATATCTGCAGGGGCTGGGAAGGCAGCAAGCAAGCAATGACGGACGGCTTCAGGAGAGACAATAGGGGGTGGTGGGGACTGTGGAAAACTGGGCAGCACATGTTCTATCTAAAGGGGCAGTGACTTCTCAACCCCAGGAAATATTTATTTGGTTTGTGACCATGTAGGTAGGCCAAACCAGAAGTATATCTCTCAATTTTGAAATGCGGGCTCAATTTTAAAAAATCATGATGTTCCAACATAGCATTTCTTCTGTCTTGAGTTATGTTGTGGGTGAAACCTGCAATTCTGATCTAGACCCAGGCCCTTCCAGGTAAATATGTGGAGACAAGCCCAGGGAGGTTCTGCTGGGGCCTGTCCTTAGCACTTTGGGTCAAATGCTTTGCAGCCATTACCTCATTTATTGCAATTATTCCCATTGCGTAGATGAGGAAACTGAGGCTCTGCAAGGTAGGATGAATTGTCAGATATCACAAGACTGTGAAGCAACAAAGCTGGGACTCAAGCCCAGAGTTCTTGCCTCCAAGCTGCGGGCTTTGCCACGTAGGAAGGAGGGCAGCCAGCCCTACAGAAGCATGGGCCATGAAAACCGCTTAATTTTCTAGGAAGCTGAGTAACCACTGACATCACCCCCTAGGACCTTGATGTCCCCATCAGTAGCTCAGACCAGTGGCCTAAAGAGACATAGACCTTTGATGGGTTCTCTCTGTTCTCCCAGATAGCTCTGCTGAAACCCTGAGGGGGAAACCAGAATGAGAGAGGACGTCAGTCCAAGGCCTGGCTTAAAACTTAACGCTAATCTACTGCTGCTGGAAGAGAGTAGAGATCAAAGCCCACTCTGATTCTCGTCAGTGGGTGGGGGCCAGCCTGCAGGTAGATGGAACAAAGGGAGGATGCCCTGGAGATGGAGCCAGCTCACTGGGCAATGCCCCCTGCACCCCACAGCGGCAGAGAGCGGGACCCTTCAAGATTCCTTCTCATAACCTTTCTTTAAGCCCAATTCATATTCATGTTAAACCAAACATGTTAGCAGGATGTTCAAATCTTTTCCCAACTGGCTCCATCCTGCCATTCCGGATGGTTGCATCATTGCAATCCATCACTATACTCCCATCACTGCACCCCCATAACTACACCCATCACTGTACTCCCATCACTACACCCCCATAGCTACACCCATCCCTGTACTCACATCACTGCACCCCCATAGCTACACCCATCACTGTACTC